TAATGACCAGGATGGCCAGAACTGTTTATCAACATAAATAATTCCAACTGGAACTACAGGCTCCAGCTAGTGTCAGTGAGTATACCTGGCCTTTAACCTCCTTCCCCCGTCCTTCCCTTCCCACGGGGCCTTTTCTTTAAAGTAATTACTGATTGTTGTGTCTCATTTTCAGAAATCTATTCAAAATCTTTCCATCATAAAAGAGGAAATTTTAAATTTCAAATCAATATTGGGCCATGATTGATTCAATTGTTAAATAAGCTGAGAACACAAAATATGAAGCGAGTGAGAATGTTATTCTGGGTGAGAAGGTCAAAGGATAAGGAGGCGGAAATAGAAATACTTCCCTTTCCAAAGTAAGAACACTGTAGTGAAATATAGTGGGAAAATGGCAAAAAGGAAGCTCATTATATATAGTAGTAGTGTCTACAGACATTTATTTATATAAGTTGATACTGCTGAATTATTCTGATATATGTATTCATTATTAAATAATGAACTCTAGAGATTCAGATGTGTTTGTACATGTTTTCTTCTAAGAATTTTATAGTTTTAACACAGTTAGGTTATAGATTTACCATCTATAAAATTCAACTTTGAGTTGAATTTTATAGATGGTAAGGTAAAGATCCTACTTCATTATTTTGCATGTAGATATGGCCAAATGAGTTTATGCAAGGATGATTTGATGGGAAAGGTTCTGGGAACAAAGGTTCTGGGAAAACTGAGTATACACATGCAAAACAATGAAGTTGGATCTTTACCTTTACCATATATAAAAATTAGCTCAAGATATATTACAGTGACCAGTGTAACTCCACATCATGGGAGTTACAAGAATGCGAAGTTATACTCCATGTATGCATAATATGTCAAAATACATTCTACTGTCATGTATAACTAAAAAGAAAAAATAACAAAAATTTAAAAAAAAATAAAAACAATGTGTTAAATACCTAAATGTAAGTGCTAAAGCTATAAAACTCTTGGACGAAAACTTAGGGGAAGAGGTTTATGAAATTGGATTGGACAATGAGTTCTTAGATATGACATCAAAAACATAGGCAACAAAGTAAAAACAGGTAAGTTGGACTATGTTAAAATTTAAAATTTCTGTGCATCAAATGACAAAATCAGCAGAGTGAAATGATAACCTATGAGTTATGAGAAAAATATTTGCAATATATCTGATAAGATGTTAATATCCACAATATGAAAGAACTCCTGCAAACTTTTTTTAGTTTTATTGATTTTATTTTTTTAAAATATGTGACAGTGGAATACATTACAGTTCTTATTAAACATAGAGTAGTACAATTTTTCATATCTCTGTATATAGAGTATGTTCATCAATTCATGCTGTTATACATGTACTTTTGTTTGCATTACAATTCTTATTACACATATATACACAATTTTTCATATCTGTTTATATATAAAGTATTTTTAAGAGAGAGAGAATTTTTTTAATATTTATTTTTTAGTTTTAGGCAGACACAACATCTTTAATTGTATGTGGTACTGAGGATCGAACCCGGGCCACACGAATGCCAGGCAAGCGCATTACCGCTTGAGCCACATCCCCAGCCCTATAAAGTACGGTGACACTCAATTTGAATCTTCATACATGTATTTTGGTTAATGATGTTCATTACATTTCACCATACTTGCTAATCCCCTTCCCCCTCCCTATCCCTCCCTATCTAGAATTCATCTAATCCTCCCATGCTCCTCTTCCCTACCCCCTTTGTGAGTCAGCTTCCTTATATCAGAGAAAACATTCTGCATTTGTTTTTTGGGGGATTGGCTAACTTCACTTAGCATTATCTTCTCCAACACCACCCATTTACCTATGAATGCCATGATTTTATTCTTTTAATGTGAGTAAAATTCCATTGTGTATATATGCCAAATTTTTTTTATCCATTCATCCACTGAAGGACATCTAGGTGTGCTTTACAGTTTAGCTATTGTGAATTGTGCTACCATAAACATTGATGTGGCTGTATCCCTATAGTATGCTGTTTTTAAGTCCTTTGGGTATAGTCCGAAGAGAGGGATAGTTGGGTCAAATGGTAGTTCCATTCCCAGATTTCCAAGGAATCTCCATACTTCTTTCCATATTGGCTGTACCAATTTGCAGTCCCACCAGCAGTGTATGAATGTACCTTTTTCCCCACATTCTCTCCAACACTATTGTTGTTTGTATGCATAAGAGCTGCCATTCTGACATGAGTAAGATGAAATCTTAGAGTAATTTTGATTTGTATTTCTCTGATTGCTAGAGATGATGAGCATTTTTTCATATATTTGTTGATTGATTGTATATCCTCTTCTGAGAAGTTATTTGTTCACTCCTGCAAACTTAACAATAAAAATCTAATTTAAAAAATGGACAAAGAACTTGAATAGGTACTTTACCAAAAAAGATATACAAATGGACAACAAATTCACGAGAAGATGCTCAGCATCATTAATCATTAGGAAAATGCAGATTAAAACTAGAAGTGAGTCCCGAAGGCCCAGGGTCGGTGGCAACATTGCCCACCCAGGGACCTTTGAGTGGTCAGGGATGGGGCAGGGCTGCGGTTCTTAGGGCCCAGCACTTCTTGTATGAGTTGCGCCCTGGGTCATGTGCTGCTTCTACAAAGTGATGGACGCCCTGGAACCCACTGACTGGTGCCAGTTTGTGGCACTAATCGTAGGCTACCAGATGGAACTGTGGCAGGGCGAGGGCTCTGACAGTTCACAGCCAGCGTCCTGTGGTCCTGGATCAACCACAAGGTGCGTGCATGTGGCCGACCTTGCGCCCATTCTCATGCACCCGTAACTGCTGCGCGTGAGGGGGACATCATCACGTCTTGGCACCCTCCCCACCCAACTACCACCTCCCACCCCTGCACCTTCCACCTTCCATCCCTTGACCTTCCACCTCCCATCCTCCCACCAGCGCCACTACCCCAATGTCCAGCAACAACTCTGAACCCTTTAAGACCAGGGCCTGGAGTCCTCAAGGTTGCAGTCCTTCCACATTCCCCCCCACCCCCGCAGCTTTTCCAGGCTCCTGGATTCATTCAGGTCCTGAGCTCTGCCCTATTCCAAGCCCTGCTACTGTCCAGCCACCACTGCCATCTCCAACTCCTTCCTCTATCAAGTCAAGCCCAAAGAACCCAGTGTCCCTACTGCAGGGGGCCCACCCTCCCCATTCTGCTGGCCCCTGTGTGAGATTTCCCAGGACACCTGCAACTTCTTCCAGGAGCTCAGGATGGGGAAAGGCACTTTGGGTGTGTGTACCAGGCCGTGATAAGGAACACCCTGTATGCCGTGAAGAGGCTGAAGGAGTCTGACCTAGAGTGGACTGTGGAAAAGCAGAGCTTCCTGACTGAGATGAAGCAGCTCTGGAGCTTTGATCACCCAAATAGTGTGGACTTCACTGGCTTCTGTGCTGAGAGCAGCTTCTAAAGCCTTGTCTATGAGTTCCTGCCCAATGGCTCCCTAGAAGACCGTTCCCACTTCCAAACTGACACCTGCCCTCCTCTCTCCTGGCCTCAGCAACCAGACATCCTACTGGGCTATTCAGTTTTTACATCAGGATAGCCACAGCTTCATCCACAGAGACATCAAGAGTTCTAATGTCCTTCTGGATGAGAGACTGATGCCTAAGCTGGGAGACTTTGGCCTGGCCCCTTTCAGTCACTTTGCAGGGGCCAGCCCTGGCCAGGGCAGTGCCTGGCCTGGACACGCACTGTTTGAGGCACCCTGCCTTACATCAACACAGCCAGCTGGTTGTGGACACTGACACCTTCAGCTTTGGAGTGGTAGTGCTGGAGACCCTGGATGGCCAGAGGGCTGGCTGTAAGGACACATGGAGCTCTGTGAGGACACATGGAGCAAGGAACAAGTATCTGAAAGACTTGGTTGAAGACAAGGCCGAGGGGGTTGGAGTGGCCCTAAAAGCACCCAGACCACCCTCAAAGGAGGTGTAGCCACAGATGCACAGCTTACTCATATCACTGCCCAGATTTATAAGAAGCACCTGGACCCCAAGCCTGGGCCATGCCTGTCCCAGCTGGTCCTGGCCCTGGATCAGCTGGTTTGCTGTGGATGCACCTCCCAGCCAAGAGGAGTCCCTCCAACCCATGATGACCAGAGGGTGTACAAGAGGCTGGAGAAGCAGCTGGCAGCAGCTGCATGGCCTCCTTGGGAGACAGAAGCTGCCAACCCTAGCCCTCCTTCTGCACAGGAGAACTCCTATGTGTCTATCACTGGCAGTGCCCAGAGTGGAGGTGGCCCATAGCAGCCTCTGGCAATGCTGCCAGAAGCCCCAGCCCAAGCTGCCCCGAGCTCCTGAAAAGCCCCAGTCAGCCTGATGAGAGTGTATCGACTTCTCTGCTGCCTTGCACTCCTGGCACTTAACCCCAAGCTGCCCCCCAGGTCCAGCACCCCTCAAAGAAGCTGGCTGTACTCAAGGGGACAGTGCTGGAGAGTGAAGCAGAGGGAATAGCCTGGGCCTTTGGCCCACATCCATGGAAGGATTGCCCCTGGGCAACTCTGCTCCATCATCATCATCAGAGCCACTGCAGATCATCATCAACCCAGGCTGACAGAAATGGCTCAGAAGCTGGCCCTGTATGAGGTTGGGGTCCTGGACAACCTGCAGCTGCTGTCATCAAGCTCTGTCCCAGGCTTGGACCTGGAACAAGAGGGTGATGAATTTCAGAGCTGATTTGTTCACCTGAGCAGATCCCCAGACCCAGAAATCAAAGTTCTCATGGTTGGAAGTTCTTATTGCACATGACCCTCTCAGCAGCCTGCAGACAGCAGGGCTGGGGACCTGTCCTGGCAGGGAAGAGTGGGTGGTGGCCCCTGAAGCTCAAGGGGGTGCAGGCACAGGCAGAGCCAGTCAGAAGGGCTGCTAGAAGCCACTGATAGAGCAAGATATCTCAGAGTCCTTCCTTCAGTCCATCACTTGAGGGCAACAAGAAGATTTCATCTAAGGGATGGGCCGGGGCATGTTAGAAAGCTGCCGAACAGGCTGGTGGCAGGAGTGGGGCTGCTGGTGCAGTGGGAGCTGGCTCTCCTCAGAGATAGGCGAGCAGCCCAGATCTGCAGCAGCCCTTAACCCATCTCTGGATTTCCCCAAAACTCTGAGGAAAAGCAGCCAATCTGCACAACAGAGTAGGTGAGGCCGGGGGCCCTCCCAGCCACTGGTAATTTGGAAAGAATGGCTATCTTGTGGTCCAGTCCACTAGCAAGAACAGAGAGAGTCCTAAAACCCAAGTGAGTCCAGCAGTGCCCCCTGCCTAGAGCTTGTGTCCAAAGTCTTTATTTGAGACCCATGAGCTAGCCTAATGTGACCACCTGCTAGCCAGACTATCCCTAGGCACTGCAGATGGGCTCTAATCCCAATCAGACTCCAGAGGCCAAAGACTCAGCCTCAGGCTCAGGCACTGGTCATGGCCAAGGGGCTGCTACCCAAGGTCTGATATGATGAGATACTTACTTTATGCCCATTAAGTTGGTAGCTACCAAAGAAACAGAAAATAACAAGTGTTGGGGGAAGATGTGTGAAGAAATTGGAATTTTTAAAAAAAAATTATTTATTTTAATGTAGTGCTGAGGATTAAACCTCACACGTGCTAGGCGAGCACTCTACCACTGAGCCACAACCCAAGCCCACCTGTGGGAATGTTAAGTGGTGCACTGCTTTAGAAAACAATATGGTGCTACCCCACAAATTAAAAATAAAATTACAGGGCTGGGATTGTAGCTCAGTGGTAGAGCACTTGTCTAGCATGTGTGAGGCACTGGGTTCGATTCTCAGCACCACATATAAATAAAATAAAGGTATATTGACAACTAAAAAAATATATAAAATTATATATATAAATAAAATTACCACATGATCCTGCCATTTCCACTTCTAAGCATGCACCCAAAAGAAATACAGTGTCTCAAAGAGTTATTTGTAGACCCCATAGTTCATAGTAGCATAAGTGTCCGTTGACAGATATATACATATAAGGTGATATTATTCACTCTTAGGATGGAAATTTTCATACAATGTAGAGGAACCATGAGAACATACTAAGTGAAATAAGCCAATCACAAAAAGAACAAGCATTGTTTGCCAAGGGCTTTGAGGAGACGGGAGTGCAGAGTTGTTGTTTAATGGGTAAAGAGTTTCAGTTTTGTAAGATGAAGAATTCTGAAAATTGTTTGCACAATCAATGAACAGTAAGCTAACAATTGGGTAAGCTGGCCAGCTTATGTATATTTTACAGCATTTAAAGACTGTAAATATATAAGATTTATACTATTCCAAGCTATGGATGAGGGAAAGATTATTTCACAGTCTTCTGTTGGAGAACATTTAAAATTCCTAGAAGTAAACATTCTGGGTAAAATGGTAGGAAGTATATTAAAACAAAAGATATTAAGTGTCTCTCAAATCTTGAACTACTTTACATCCCTAGTAATAGTAAATGCTGGTGTTCTCTCCTCCACATTCAATAAATGTTGATATGTAACTAAAAGCTTTGGCCACTCTTTTGGGAGAAAAATTAACTCGTTTGAAAATTAATTTACATATTAAGAATTACTAGTAAAGTTGAGTATGTTTTGGAATTTGAAAATTATTTTTTCTTTCTTCTAGACATTAATTTTTCATATCCTTAATGATATTTTATGTTGGAATTCTTTTTATTAAATTTTTTTTCCAGTACAAATTCCTTAAAAAAATAAGAAAGTGCTTTTGCAGTAGTTTCTCTACTCCGATGCAGCTTATTTTACCTAAGGGTTTTTTCTTTCATTATTTCAATATAAACTTTAAAAATTAGCTATCGAATCCATCTATAATTGCTTTTGCATATTGTTAGAATGTAATTTAATTTCTTGTACATAAATTACTACTTGTTCTGTTCCTATTTATTGGAAACATCTATTTATGTTTTTCTATTCATGTTTGTTTTTTTTTTCTATTCTCTATTCTATTCTAATGCTAAATTGGCCTTTTTGGCTCCAATGCAGAAGTATTACATATATTACCTATTTACCTGTTTAGGATGTTTTGTTAGATGGCATTCTGCCCCATTCAGCTTCATTTTGTAAAAAAAAAGA